TTCACTGTAGTGTTTATCATTTGCGATGTGCTAACTTACACCAAAAAGAAAAACGTTTGAATGACCACAACTCCTTAGAGCGACTCACGTGTAGCATGCTGGTAACACAAAAATGCATTTTTGCACGGCTAAATTTCACCGCTGTGAAGACCACCAGGGGCAACTTTTACTCCTACACAGGCTAGGCATGAAACATCACCATCACTGAAATTCAAAAATAAGTTCTGCGTAACGACACGTGCTGGGTGCTCGAAGGGGACGGGCCATTCGAGACTCCTGGCACCCCCCACTCCCCCTGTCCATCGCCTACAAGCGTCCACAAGTGTGGCTTACAAGACACGAGCTCGCATGTCTGCAGCGCCGTGGCCAGATGACCGGCCCTGTGCTAACGGGGTTCCGGGAACAATGCAATGCGTAAGGTCGTGTAAGACGTCCTTCGTCTTTTGAAACTGATCTAATTGAGTGATATGATGCCGGCGGTCTACGTATGAATAGCTCCCGTCAATTAAGAAGACAAAGTTTGAGCTCCAGGCCAACACATTGCATATCATGGCGTGAAACCATCATGGACTTTCATCGCGAAGCGCCGACAGAAATAAAACATTGAAAATAATCTGTTTTTAGGCTGAGTGCATATCTGAAATCAGTCAGCGCAACGACACCAGATGATGTCCGACGTCTGAAAGATCAAGCCAAAGTAGCGATGAAGAGGTCAGCCCTCATCATTTTGTGTTTTGGAAGTGGACATGGCCACCAGACATACGAAATCTGCTGTGAAGATCGAAGGCGTTTTAGGGCTGGGTGGTGCCAACCAGGTTTAATAATGTTGGGCCCTGGCTGTAATCGCTGGTCACTCAGGACTCCCGCGAAAAACTGTCGCCAAAGGGTGTGATGTCAGTGCATGTATTTTTTAGTCTGTCTGCACATAACGATTATTTAACATGAACTTTCGAGTCCTAGGTGGTCCTCGTATGGGCGCATTTCTGAAAGACAGCATAATTTTGGCGTCTAGCTGCATTCTACAAACTAGGTCCTGTGTGTGACTGCATACATCAAAAGCAGACCCCCCCCCCTTACTGAGAGCATGACACCTTTTTGTATTTTCCGCTTACTTTTAGATAAGAACCTTCCGATCCGTAATGATAGTTTTTCAAAGGTAACAAAATTCTCACCAATAGCTCAGAATTTCGATTTGAAGTAGCCATTCTGGCGATAAGCATCATATTTCACTCGCGGCCCATCACCATAAATTTAACATGTTTAGTTACCATGCCTTTTCAAAATGTGCGTTCTGTAATGTTTTAGCTGCAAAATTCGTCAAAATGCTTACGTAATGAATGCCACGACAGCCTGGAAAACTTAATGTCGGGAAAATATACACAAACCTGTGCTATCATCATGCAAATGCAACGAAGCGCTACACGACGGTTTTTAGGACACCTCACGGATCGGATCAGTCCGCTGGTTGTAAAGACGTCCGCGGCCCGGATTGGACCGGATCAGAATTTTCCACCCAAAATGGATTAGGACCGGACCGGATTTTTAAATCTGCCCGCCACATAATTTCCACGGATTGAAAACCAATCAAACGATAAATAGCACCGCTTAGTCTTTGAAATGCTCCATGACGAAAGAACACATCAGCACAGAAAGAACCTTTGAACCAATAAAATGCAGTAGTTTCACTTGCAAGCAATGCGCAAACTGGCTGCATAGCACATAACTCACCCATATATTCTACAAACAAGTTCCCTGATGAACAGATCACATCGACAAATCGACATCTATGAGTGGCACTGATTTTTGTTCGCATGGAAAACTAGATCTCTTATTTCTTTTCAGGTAACTAGGATGTCTGATAATATAATAGCCTATCTTAGCATAGCAGGACTACCATTTTTCCTGGCCTTGTCAGCAATCCCATTCAACCTTAGTGGGTGACAGTGCATTGCGATATTCAAAAACTGGGCAGGAACATGCTTTGTTGATAAAAGGCATACCGCAAAACTTTGAAATCCAAGCTCCTTTCCGAGAAATATAGCAAACGAGGAACTCCACGGCAACACCGTAGTTTTTGTTTACCGAATCACTTAGCCATATGTTTTAGCACAACACCAACTTTAATTAAGTATGCTGTTTCAGTTGATCCATTTTCAGGCGTCTAGCAGAATAAAGATTGCTGCATCTTCACAGACAATTTAACATCCTCTCCTCCTGATTGCTTTTTTCAGGGAATGAGCATGTCGGCTTCAGCAATTAGCAGTGCAAGGCGGTCTTGTAACTCAGCAGCGACCTGTTTGATGTGATTCGAGTACTCGTAGCATCCAGCCGAAAACTTTGACATAAGGCAAGTATCTATTTGTGTTAGATCTGTTCTACTCCCACTTATATAAGCCATGAACAACTTGGGCGCCAAGAATGCATTTGCCAACCTGTGATTTACCTGTAATTATTTTGAATGTCCAGAGCGCTTCACAGAAAGGTAGGAAATTAACATGGG